TTTTCTTTCTTTTTTTTTTTTTTTTCCTTCCAAGTTGCACGAGCACCCTCCGGCACGTCCGTCCGGCTACGTCGCCATATTCTCGTCACTCTCTTTCCACGTAGCCGTAATTTATGAGCTTTAATTAGCCAAGGTGGCCCGAGGCTGGCTCTCGTGGCATTATCGTAACTAACTCCGTCACCGTTACACCTTTCTCGATCTTATCCCTCTCGATTGGTCGAACATCGTGCTATTCGATCGTGACTCGCTCGACAATCTATCATTATATTAAACGTCTACGTGGCAAAAGCTGTGATCCGTTTCCTTCCAGATGTATCGAACGATACATTGGCTAGCAGTGATTATCAGCCGGTTAACGGGCGACATATTTCTTTGTTATCGTTCCCAATGCTACGGGACGGAAGGCGGTGTGACCCTTTGTTTCCGCGATACAGCCTGTTGCTCCGCGCAATTTACAAAGGGTTGGTTACCAGACGAATTCTCGAAAATTTCGCAACCTCTCTCGAAACTGGGGATGGTAATAATAAATATCATCACGTGACAGGATCGTCTCGTCGAGGATTCGTGAAACGATTTATTAAAAAGAAGGTAAGGTGAAAATGATTTATCGTCGCCTATAAAATGCTGTTCAAAATGAAATACCGTCATCTGTTGCTACGTAACTCGTTTACAAATTTCCTTCACGTGTATCGTAAAATTGTTACGACGTGGACGGATAATAAGAAAAATCGGCGTATAACGTGTAGGCGCGCGTTAGGCGAGAAATTGCAAGAGGAGGCTTACCTGTAGCACCGATTTGTCAAAGCCCGCTACAAGAGCAGAGGGCGAGGAGGAGGGTGAAGGCGAGGACGAAGGCGAGGATGTGCAGACCGAAGGACTAGTGGTGGTGACGGGGGTCGAGGGTGTTGAGGGGGCAGGGGAAGGTGTCAACCCCCGAGGGCCCCCCGCAGTTGCACCCGATGCCCCCGGTCCTGCTCCTGCGGTCTTTTCCACTTCTGAAACAGACAATAAAACATGCGTTAAATGTACGTTTAATTCAACGAGAAACAGAGCGTTGATTATAAATATTTCACGAAATTGTTTCTTTATCCTCTCTATTCAAACCTGATAAAATTTGATATCTCTGAGGTAACGATATGATTCTAATTCAATGCCATCGATGAATTCAATTATCCAACCTCGATCCACGTCCGAAATTAAACGGAATATATTTATCAAGCGTATTATATCAAAAACCATCGTAATTCGTTTTTTATCGAGCACGATGTAGAACGTTCGTCTCGCGGAGAGAAAGCAAGAAAACTTGTAATTTTCCGGTCGAACGATAACATTGTATTCTTTCTCACGCGCGGCAATAGATAATAGGGAAGGAAAGAGTGGGGTTGAAGCGAGGGGAGGAGGAAGTGGAGACGGAACGGTTTCGAGGCACGTACCCGGATCGAGGGCGCGGTCAATTCATTGAATAGGAAAGTAACTTTCATAGTTTATAAGTTTATCCTCCCAACTCGTTTCGAATCGAGTTAGTGGGAAGGCGAGAGAGAAAGAGAAAGAGAGGGAAAGAGAGAGAGAGAGAGAGAAGCTCGCATCAAGATCTCGAGCGAAGAATCTTGAAGAAGATGCGTTTAATATGCTCGGCTCTAATGTAATCGAAAACTTCGAAACGAATTCGTTCTCGCGGTGGTCGATTTGCAACACTTCTCTCGAGAACTTTAAACGAGGCCGGATTGGCCGTTCGAAATTCCATAAATTACTGTCCCGATGATTGAAAGCGATTGAAAATATCCCCTCCCGTTTCCGCTCCGCTTTCCGCTAGATAACATTTCGAGAGGAAGTCCAATTAGACGGATCCTAGAATATCGCGGCAATCTCTATTCGTTTATTATCGTTGGTGCAATTTTTACGTCGATAATTTGATAAGTCAGGATGAATATATATTCTTCTGGTCGAGACGATAATTAAACCAGAGTGATAAAAATAAGATCCAAAAGGAAACCAATTAGTTTCAATCGCGAAACTTCCATACTTCCTTTCGCGTATCTCGTTAACGTTCACTCATCGAGCGTATGATCGAACATGAATGTTTATTGTTCATCGATTCGCGGGATTTATTCGATGTCGTGAGAGATATAATTAATTAACGAAAGCATTAGATTCGCGTAAAGTAACGAAAACGTTGTTTATGCACAGAGATTCGCGCTAAGGGAAAGAATAATTTGTACGTCTTCTCGAGTTTCCAACTGCTTCGGGCGTCAAAGAACGAGCAAAGTATTCCGATACGCGAAAATATGCCCCTGGAGATCGTAATTCACGCCTTTACCCGAGCTGAATTCAGTTTTGCCATTTATATATTTTTATATCCACCGGCCGTGGTATTATCTTAACAACCGAAGGGAGGGGCAAGCTCTTTTTTACTGATGAATTTCGTTACGTTCTTGCCTGCAGTCGGCAGGCCAGAAGTCGGAGAAAATGGAGGAAGGTTTAAAGGAAATGGGACGAATGGCGGGAACTCGTTTGCCCGTGTAATTACTCATGAGAGCGAAGAAATATTTCTGAAGCAAGTCGGCAACGCATCTTAACGTATCCCTCGAAACCCTTTTTCTCCCGTTTAAGCGACCGTCGGAAAACATTTTCCCCGGTCGCCAACAGTTTAATACGCGTATTAAGACTTCCGTCTCATCTCTCCTTTGACCTCTCCTTCACGCTTCAATCCATCCTCGAATTTCTTCCTCGAGACTCAAATATTTGCCGGTAATTTATTAAAATTTTACGGGGAACTCGGGGAACATCTTTCGAGGATACTTGTAAACTTTGATAAGGATGGATGAATAGTTGAAGAGACAGTTGAACGGACGAGCACAATTACGACACGAATATGAAATTCTTCCTTAATATCTCTACTTTAATCAATCTTAAAAAAAATCTTAGAGAAGAATATATATCAGAAATTTATGTTTGATTAAAATCAATTCAATATCCGACAATAGCATAAAACAATGGTAAGATGATCCTTCGATCGAAACGACGAGATGCTCGAAGAACTCTCTATTGCACACTCTCTATTACATATATATACACACACTACGACAAAGTTACCACTCGAAGGTTAAACGGCGAAATTAACGATGGACCGGTGTCGCCCGATTTATGAGGTAACGCGAAACTCCATGATACATCCGTGTATTTGCGTACGTACACCTGCACCCTCCCCCTACCCTCTCTTCCCCTCCCTTGGATGAGACGCAAACTTGGCGAAACGCGAGCAAGATGGAAGGGAGAGAGAGAGACGCGCAAACCTCCAAGCACACTTCGAACTCCCGTCATAAGTTCACCTTACCCCTAAGTCCTTTTCGCATTCCGAAGTTGGATACTCCTCCCGTCGCAACTACGTCGGCCAACTCGAGTTACAAGCTAAAATACATAATAACAATGCTCGCATCATAAAGCTCGCGCGCATCTAGAGCTCTCTCTTCTTCCCCGTTTCTAGAGCTCTATAACACGGGCTCTGGGCCCCGTTAGATTATGCTAATAGAGAAGGAAATCCCGCCACCGCGGGAAGGGCGGGAAGAAACGAAACCGCGCGCTTAAAATTCTCCTCGCCTTTTGTTCTTTAGGGGCTTTAGCGGCTGCCGTGTACACTCATACGTGACTCGTATATTCGTCAAGATCACTTTTTTCCTTTCTTCTTTTTTTTCTATCTCCACGCGGAGCAAAGGGGGGGGAAAAAATTTCGCGTGCGCGAAGAAGAGGAAAATGCGGGGGTGGGTCGTGCGTTTTTAGGCGGAATAAATCAAATATAACTTCTCCTCCCCTTGTAGGGGGTCGTTTGTCGAGGGATCTCCGGGCGCTAACCTCGCGGATCGCAAGGGAGGAGGGAGGTTTACGGAATTTCAGGATTCGATTTCTGTCCAATTAAGGGTCGAATCGGCATACCGCGCGTACGAGAACAATGGGCGGTGGAAGGTTTTACGTATTCGTTGAAAGAACCGCCACCCACCCTTCTCCTTTAACAAACACGGAATTCGTAACGCGCTGGGTCCGCGAAACCGTGATGGTGAAAGCGAGGGTGAGGCTCTCTGAAGAGGACATTCGTAACACTTGTCGCCGCAGCAGCTGCCAAGAGGGAGTTATTGCGCTCCCGTAACAACGGCAACAAGGGTGGAACTTTTCCAACGGCGTACCGTCAACGGGAATCAGACGCCTGGCCAACGTTGCCCTTTGAAAACGCGTCACCTCTTTATCAAAGCTAACAAGAAGCGTCGACTCGACCCCTGCCACCGAGTGGCTAGACAAAGATATATCCGGTATCTTCTCGCGTCGATCACAATCATCACGAATACCTTCGTCCAAAACTGTTACGGATTTCTATATTCTGACTTGAAAGAAGAAATTCTTCCAACCTCTAATTTCCGACTATATCCATTTCGATTACAAGAATTATTAAAGTTCAACGTCTCTTGGAGACGTAAACGGGCTGGCTGCTCCACACCCCACTCTCAACCGCTATTTGTAAAAACAGAAAAGCTCGGCGCAACGCGCGTCGAGCGATTTATTCGCACGTACGAGGCGCGCCATGGAAGACGAGCTTCCAGTCGGTGGGCAAAGGAGAAAGAGTACAGAGGGAAGAAAGAGGAGAGAGAAGGAAAAGTAGAGAGAGAGAGAGAGAAAGAAATCCCTTGTTAGCGGCAGGTACGTAGGTAGGTCCGCCGAGACAAGTGGCGCGGTGGGGTGGTACGCGGTGAAAAATAGGACGAATTTGCAGCGAGAAACATCAATTCTCGGTGGCAGTAGTTTTATTCCATGGAGGCGCGGCCAGAAGAAACGGGCGGTGAGAGAGAGAAAGCGGGCAGAGGTGCTTGAAGCCCACTTCTCGGTGAAAAATAGGGAAACCGCGCGCCGCGAGCTTAGCTCGGCCGTTCGTTCGTCCGCCAAGTGGGGTGGATAAGTGATGCAACAGTACGGAGCAGGGGAACCATCTCCTACCGAGAGGAGAGAAGACTAAAGAAGAAACTTGGTGGAGGGAAAGTGGAGGGATAGCCAGTGAATGAGAGTGATAGATTGCGCGACGCCATCCTCTGACACTCTTCCACCAAAGGCCAGCCCTGCCCATTGTACTCTGCGAGCCGGAACCCAATGGTCGGGACAATTCTAGACCTTCCGCGTTCCGCTAAACGCAGTATCCTCCTCTTTCTTTCCCTTTCCCAGAGAACTTTATATATTTCGGCCACTGGAATGGAGCGAGGAACGATCGAGGGGGATGATTTTGTTTTAATCGAAGGAAATGATCGCGAGGATCGTCGATTGATGTATTTACAGGAGAAGAAAGTTTAGGCGAGCTTAGAGAAAATAGTAGAATGGAAATGATTAATTGGTTAATTACACGTGCAATTGATTGCAAAGGGGGAAAAGAAATTTGGAATGGGGAGAGGGAAAGAATATAGGGAGAGAAAAAGAAGTGGAAGCTATTTCGATGCAACCAGCCAGCGTATCCGGTGTTCGCGTTTGAGTCGTCGTTAAGCGACGAAGAAAACCAAGCGGAAAATCGAATGAAGGTTCAACGCGGGGACGCGTTGTTCCCGTCTGAAAATTAACACGTTTAATTCCGAGCTTTATCCCGATCGCGTCGATCCGTGTCGTTTCGGGATAAACGGCCGGATAAAATCGAGGGGGGGGGGATTAAAAAAATTATTTTGCTACGATAAATCATGATGAGTTCGCGTTGCAACGCCTGTCAACCGCTTTATAAAGGCCGTATTTTTAAACAAAGTTTCGAAACCCGTCGAACATCATCATCGGGCGAAATTGACAGGCGAGACAAGAAATATAACAAAATTGAATCGAGCAAGATAATCGCACGAGACGCGTGATCGTTCGATTAAAAAACGTTTTATAAATGTTTCTATATAAATATTTATTCGAATCGAAAAAGAACGAAGGAGGTTGGAATCGAGCGGTTTGAAAGTGATACATACTCTTCGACTATTCTATGGCCATTAAC